TCGGCAATGGACTCGCCCCTGGAGATACTGGCGTCAGCACAACCCAAGTTGCAGTAGCCTGATCGCGGCGTAGGTCGGGTTATCACCTGTTGACAACAACTTACCCCTCGATGCCGAATCGCCGCCAACCTTCGCGCTTCGTCGTCTTGAGCCGCTCGAGCATGTGGAAGAAGGCTAGTGGCGAGCTAGAGTGCTGCGGGGGCGCGTCTCCGGGCAGCGTTTCGAGGACCTTTTCGACAGACCAGGGCTCCGACACCTTGGCCATGGGCATGTATCCAAGGTCTGCCGCCGCGTCAGTCCGTGAAGCATCCTCTCGGCGCCGACTCCGTGGGTAAGGACGTACTGGCAATGGCTGCCTTGGAGCCTTCGGGCTGGCTTCGTTGCAATCCCATATCGCCTTGCGTGCTATCTCGTCGATGTCTCGAAATGTGGCTGTCCAAATGAAATCCAGGAGGGTCGCGCGGAGCAAACTGAGCAGATAAGCGTTTGGGCTCCTCAGCTGCGGCGCTACGGAAGGAAGTAAAAGGCGGCGCTGCGAACGAGGGTGAGAAGACGCCTGCTGCTTATTCACAGCGGGAAGGCAAAACTATGGGTAGTAAACGTCGTTGGCCACGGCCGCACCACTGGTTAGCGAGCTTGCGTTTTCTTCGTGCGGGCCAACGCGTCGGCTCCTTGCAGCTTGTTGGAGAGTGTGTCCGTCAGCCTCACCTGCGGCGCTGGCATTGGATCTGGCCGTTCGTTAATCATGGAAGCAAACCTACACCACACAAAAAAGCAAAGCATGCTTCTTACGAATTGCTCCATTAGACATGGATTATGCAATGCTGGCAGTCAGTACCCGCTGATTTACCACAAGTCATGTCACACTGCAGTGCTTGAACCTGTCTCAAAGGGCCTTCAGCCGTGTCTCAGCTTGCCAGGCCGTACCCACAACGTAAAATGGAGGAAAGATCGGCCGTTAAATTCACAGCCCTCAGGCAACTACTCGAACGTTGCTTTTGCTGTGACTTGCTGAGTCGTTTGGAGGAGAAGCGTGGTGCCGAATCGCTTGTGTATTAAGGCCCTTGGCTCGTGGGCACCATGACCTACAGCTGAATGAATCTAACCATCGTCAATTGAGCGCCAACCCGTCTTAATTTATTACATCAAAAGGATGGACAACGAAGCCCGTCTAATGGGACGTCAATGGCGGTCTAGGCCTGCGTTTATCTTAGCGACTGTGGCTGTCGGCCTGTTCACGGACCTCTTCCTCTATGGCATAGTGGTGCCCATTGTTCCATTCTTGCTACGAGACCGCCTGTCTGTCCCTGATGGTCAGATCCAGTCATACACATCAGGACTACTTGCAGCGTACGCCGGGGCATCCGTCCTGTTCTCCATTCCAGCGGGGTGGATTGCAGATCAAACTGGTTCCCGCCAACCTCCATTTCTTTCTGGACTGGTGATGCTGCTCCTCGCAACTACAATGCTGGCGTTCGGCCGGAGCCTCACCATACTAGCCGCAGCAAGAGTACTTCAGGGCATGTCTGCCGCAGTCGTCTGGACAACCGGCCTTTCCATGGTCCAAGATACTTTTGGTGCTGAGAAGATGGGCCAGGCTATTGGTACAGTGAGCATATTTGCGGACTTGAATTGTTTAGTAGGACATCAGCTAATGTGTTAAGATCTTTTCCGTGGGCAATTGCTAGGCACGCCGAACCTCTTTACTACGGACGCCGTCTTACGGACGCCGTGTGGCTGACCTGCCAAATCGGGCAAGCGCACATCTCACTGTGCGCGTCTTGCCTTCCCCGCACATGGCTGCCTTCCTTCCTAGCCATCTGAATTAATTGCTGAATGTCGCACAAAGAGCCAGCTCCATGCTGTATATCATCTGTGCTTATTGTTGTCCGCGGAAGCCGATGCTATATTCCACGTACTAAGGTCGAGCGCCTGCATGCGTTGTGCTTTGACTTCGTCAAGGTCAAAGCTCAAACGCTGGTTGCATAAGCCGGACCAGCAGCCGCGATTACAAGGATTTTGCACCACAAAGGCAAGACTTTCCTTGTGTATAAAGAGCGGCGCACTGTCGTGCACCTACAACTAGCTCTTTAGGATAATTCTCATCAATCAACACAATGCCAACCGTGATCCCTGTGGAGCCAATTGTCTGACACTGAAGCAATCGACAGCTCGGCGCCCGCATGGCATCGCCGTCGGCATCTGTACTGCAGCATTTCCAAATTTCTGTCGCCGACACCAACATATCTAACGTGCGTTATCAGCGAGTGGACCATATCAGCGAGTGGACCATATCAGCGAGTGGACCATATCAGCGAGTGGACCACTTTTCACCACAGCACGCGCAAGATGTTCAATTAACCACCACGAAATGAAACAACTACGATAATTACATTAGAAATGGATTATTTAGACCCTCCAGTAGCATTCTGACAGGTTCGTACGTTATGACCAATGCCACC